CAAACTATACTACAGGACTACAGTAATCAAAATAGCACAATACTAATACAAAAACAGACACACAGACCAATAGAACAGAATAGGGAACCCAGAAATAAGGTCATACACCTACAACCATCTGAACTTCAACAAAGCTGACAAAAGCAAGCAATGGGGAAAGTATTCTCTATTCAGTAAATAGTGCTAGGATCTCTGACTAGCCATAGACAAAAAATTGAAACTGAACCCCTTTCTTATACCATACAAAAAATCAACATATAATGGATTAAAGACTTAAATGTAAAACTCAAAACTGTAAAAATCCTGAAAGACAACTCAGGCAATACCATTCTGGACATAGGAATGAGCAAAGATTTCATAATGAAGATGCCAAAAGCAATTGCAACAAAAGCAAAAAATGACAAATGGCTTCTAATTAAACTTAAGAGCTTCTGTACTGCAAAAGAAACTATCAACTGAGTAAACAGACAACCTACAGAATGGGAGAAAATATTTGCAAACTATGCATCTGACAAAAGTCTAATATCCAGCATCTCTTAAGCAACTTAAAACAAATTTACAAGAAAAAACAACCCCATTAAAAAAACGGCAAAGCTACTTTTCAAAAGAAGACATGCATGCGGCCAAGAAGTATATGAAAAAAGCTCAATATCACTGATCACTAGAGAAATGCAAATCAAAGCCACACTAAGATACCATTTCACACCAGTCAGAATGGTCATTATTAAAAAGTCAGGCTGGGCACGGTGGCTTATTTCTGTAATTCTAGCACTTGGGGAGGCTGAAGTGGGCAGATCGCTTGAGCCCAGGAGTTAGAGGCAAGCCTGGGCAATATGGCAAAACCCCACCTCTACAAAAAGTACAAAAATTAGCTGGGCATGGTGGTACACACCTGTAGTCCCAGCTACTAAAGAAGCTGAGGTAGGAGGATCACTTGAGCCCAAGAGGTCAAACCTGCAATGAGATGTGAGCGTGCCTCTGTAGTCCATCCTGGGTGACAGAGTGAAAACCTGTCTCAGATAAAAAGAAGTCAAAAAATGGCAGATGTTGACAAGGTTGCAGAGAAAAGGGAACACTTATACACTGTTGGAGGGAGTGTAAATTAATTCAGCCATTCTGGAAAGCAGCATGGTGATTCCTCAAAGAGCTAAACACAGAACTCCCATTCAACCCAGCAATCCCATAACTGGGTATATACCCAAAGGAATATAAATCATTCTACCATAAAGACACATGCAGGCCACGTGCAGTGGCTCCCGCCTTAATCCTAGCACTTTGGGAGGCTGAGGCGGGTGGATCACTTGGGGTCAGGAGTTCAAGACCAGCCCGGCCAACATGATGAAACCCTGTCTCTACTAAAAAAAAAAAATATATATATATATATTTTTTTAATTTATTTACATATATATTTGCATATATATTTACATATATATTTGCATATATATTTACACATATATTTACACATATATATTTACATATATATTTTTATATATATTTACATATATATTTACATATGTATATTTATGTATATATTTACATATATATATTTATGTATATATTTACATATATATGTAAACTAGCTGGAAATCACTTGAACCTGAGAGGCAGAGGTTGCAATGAGCCAAGATCGCACCACTACCCTCCAGCCTGGGCAACAGAGTGATACTCCATCTCAAAAAAAAAAAAAAAAAAAAAACACTCATGTGAATGTTCATTGCAGCACTATGCACAATAGTAAAGACATGGAATCAACCTAAATGCCCATCAATGACAGATCATATAAAGAAATTGTGGTACACATACACCATGGAATACTATGCAGCTATAAAAATGAACAAGATCAGGTCTTTTGTGAGAACATGGATGGAGCTGGAGGCCATTATCCTTGGCAAACTAACACAGGAACAGAAAATCAAATACCACATGTTCTCACTCATAAGTGGGAGGTAAATGATGAAAACTCACGGACACAAAGAGGGGAACAACAGACACTGGGGCCTACTTAAGGTTGGAGGGTGGGAGGTGGGAGAGGATTAGGAAAAATAACTATTGGGTACTAGGGTGACAAGATAATCTGTATGACAAACTGCTATGACACAAGTTTACCTATATAACGAACCTCCACATATATCCCTGAACATAAGATTTTTTTTTAATGTGGTACTTATATACAATAGAGTACTACTCAGCCATAAAAAAGAATGAGATCCTGTCATTCGCAACCATATGGATGGAACTGGAGATCATTATGGTAAGTGAAATAAGCCAAGCACAGAAAGACAAACATCACCTGTTTTACTTATTTGTGGGATCTAAAACTCAAAACAATTGAAATCATAGACACAGAGAGTAGAAAGATGGTAACCAGAGGCTTGAAAGGATAGTGGGAGGGTGGAGGGGCAGATAGGTTTATGTGTACAACAAAATAGAAACAATGAATAAGACCTGATATTTGCTAGCACAACAGGGTGACTATAGTCAATAATTTAATTGTACACTTTAAAACAACTAAAAGTGCAATTGGACTGCTTGTAATACAAAGGCTAAATGCTTGAAGAGATGGATATCTTATTTTCCATAATGTGATTATTTCACATTGTGTGCATGCATCAAAACGTTTCATGTACCCCATAAATATACTTACTATATACACAGAAAAATTAAAAATTAAAAATATATATAGATAGGTGATAGCTGTTTGTCTTACTGTATTTATATTCTTTTAAAAGTCTTATACTTCTGTATATAAAGAATACACACTACAACTTACAAAATGTAAATGTGCAAGAGTTAAATTGTGATAGAGGACAGAAATATAATGAAAAATCTTGTTAGTTTTTCTCACACCTATTATTTAACTTATGCTACTGTTAATTAATACTAATGGCCACTGTTTAGTCCTAATGTTTTGTTTAAATAGCACTTATGTAACAGAAAATAATACATAAAAAACATATAATTTCAAATACTTATTCTTAAGTAATGATACATATGCACAATTATTTATGTTATGGGTTTTCTTCATCTAGCACATCTACGTCCTGGGTTGGCTCTCTGAAGGTTGGTCACCCTAAGACTATAGTACCATCTTGTTTATATAAAAAATATATAAACAAGATACTATTTGTAAATTGCATAGAATAGAAACTGGTAAACAATGATGCCTTCTGTGAAAGTGACATCAGTGGCCAGAACAGGTAAGAAAAATTTTCTTTTACTAGGATATTTTTAAATACTCTTAAATGTTGTACCCTGCAAATATACCAGCTATTTTTTTTTTTTTTTTCTTTTTTTGAGATGGAGTCTCGGCTCACTGCAACCTCCACCTCCCGGGTTTCAGCAATTCTCCCGCCTCAGCCTCCTGAGTAGGTGGGACTACAGGCATGAGCCACCATGCAGGGCTAATTTTTGTATTTTTAGAAGAGAAAGGGTTTCACCATGTTGGCCAGGCTGGTCTCAAACTCCTGACCTTAAGTGATCTACCCGCCTGGGGCTCCCAAACTGCTGAAATTATAGGCGTGAGCCACTGCGCCCAGCCTCCACCTATTTTTAAATGTTGTACACTGAAAATATTCTAAACCAAGGGACTGTTATTAATTTTACACAGAGGCTGGCCACAGTGAGAGTGGGGAAAGGCACCATCTCAGCATGGGAGCACGTGCTCTCACTGGAAACAATGTATCGATAACACGTGTTTCTTGGCAAGCCGGCCCAAACTTCAAGATGGCGGCCCAGCGGACGGCTGGTTGTGACGAGTCTGATGAGGTTAGTTGCTTCACAAAACTGAAGGGCCCACTAAGCCTGGGAAATCAGTATGTATTTGTGTATGTGTTTGTGAGGAGAGCCACTGGAGGGTTTTAAGGAAAACAGTGATTGGATTTATGACTAAAAGGGTCCTCTAGCTGTGTAAGGAATGCGGGGGGGGGGACCCTATTTGGGGAGTATATTTCTGTAATCTTGGTAAGGGTGTTGGCTTGGACTCGTTAGCATCATAGTAGTACTGGATGGAGATGTGAAGACATGGATAGAAATTTGGGAGGTCACCTGGACAAGACTTGTTGCTAGATTGAGTGTGGATTGTGAGGGAAACAGCAATATGGCTGCCTGCCAGTTACACCCTCTCCGGCCTGAGCGAGTCACGGTGCCTGTTCCTGAGATGGAAGATGCTAGGGCATTGGTGGATGTGGAGGGTAAGAATGAGTTATCTGCGACGTTTTAAGACAGACATAGTTAACTGATGCACATTTTTTAAAGTCACTTGGGCGGGATGGTCGGTTCTCACGAAAGTCATTGGGGCTGTTCTGTGGGGAGGGGCTGGGAAGGGTGTAACTGGGAGGCAAGGAAGGGTCCTGCGTTGGCCTCAACGGGGACAGACAGGAAGCTGCTCAAGGCCAAGTGAAGGCTTTAGTTTTCCATCAGGGTGAAATGGGCAGCCAAGTAGGGCTTTGAGTGTGGCAAGAGCAGACCAAAGTCCTGCTGTGTGGAGAGCAGGCTATTGGGTAGGGTTGCCAGATTTAGCTAATAAAAATCCGGGACACCCGTTTAAATATGAATATCAGATCAACAATTATTTCGTAGCATAAGTACGGCCTGTGCGAATTTGGGATATATTAAAAATGTATTTGTTGTTGATATGACATTCAAATCTAACGGGTCCAACTGTGTTTTACTAAGCAGCCCTAACATTGACTAGGTCTGGAATTTCCGTAAGCCAAGAGGGGCGATGGTGGTAGCGGTGGAGGTGTGAGGAGGGACCCCCGCAAAGGTGAGCTTTTCCCATTTGGTGCCCTTTGCCGCAGAACAACTCTGGGAAGTCGAGCCTCTCGGCTCTTCTACTTCTTTTAGCCCCCAGCAGGCTCCACGGGGAAGGATTCCCTGCTTCTTCCAATCCTCCTGAACACGGACGCCCGAGCGCGTCTCTTCCCCCTGGCCAGCGTCTTGCTGAAACTCCCGCCCCCAGCGGCTGGCACGTAACCCCGCCTTCCGCTTCTCTCCTCCCGCTCCCCTCCTCCCGCTCCCCGCAGGGGTGTGGCCTGAGTGAGGAGACCGCAAGCTGCCCCTTCTCCCCTGTCTCCCCGGATGACGAGTCGCTGGATAACATGGAGTCGGGCAAGATGGCGCCTCCCAAGAACGCTCCGAGAGATGCCTTGGTAAGTGCGAAGGATGAGCGGCGGAGCGCGAAGCCGGGTGCAGCCAGGGACCTGCGAGGCAAAGCCACGCTGAGGGCCTAAGGGTGGGCTCGCGCGGTCGCTTCAGTCCAGTCATGGCCGCCAGGAGGAGAGGGTGATGGAGATGCGCCCTGGCCCCGGGGCCCCTCTCTCCGCTCGGGCCAAGCCTTACCAGGGGGTCGCGGTCCAGCGGAGTTTGTGGAACGGCTGCCCAGCTTTGTGTCCTGGGCTTCGGGCCCGTGCCGCCTCCTCGTCTCTACCTATCCGCCAGCCCTGACCCCGCGTCCAGGGTTCTGACGCTAGCTTAACTCGCTGCCAAAACCAAAAATGACAGCCAGCTGAAGCTACCCCTACTTCTGCTGGGGAAGCCAACTCCTGTCTTCTCTTTGCTTCCCCCCCCACCACCGGCTCCCAATCCCGCCAAAAAATAAAAATAAAACTTTTCAGCAAAAGCGTACTGTGCGATTTGGTGTGATCGCTGACTCACTTGGGAAGACAAGGGTGAGTAGGACTTTGAAGCCCAAAGAAAGGGAACCTTGTATAATAAATGTAAATACTACCCTTCAGGCTAGCCTTGATTTCCAGCACCAAATTCTGCATCTGGCGTTTTTATTTGAATCCACAGGTGATGGCACAGATCCTGAAGGATATGGGAATCACAGAATACGAACCAAGGGTTATAAATCAAATGTTGGAATTTGCCTTCCGTAAGTTAAACACCAAAAACTTGTCTAACTTGTGAATTTGAAAAAATATTTTTATTGTAAGAACTTTTTTCTTTTTTTTTTTTTGAGACAGGGTCTTGCTCTGTCGCCCAGGCTGGAGGGCAGTGGCACAATCTCGGCTCATTGCAGCCTCCCCCTCCCGGGTTCAAGCGATTCTCATGCCTCAGTCTCCTGAGTAGCTGGGACTACAGGCACACACCACCACACTGGGCTAAGTTTGGTATTTTTAGTAGAGGCGGGGTTTTGCCACATTGCACAGGCTGGTCTTGAACTCCTGACTCGGGTTATCTGCCCATCCGGGCCTCCCAAAGTGCTGGCATTACAGGTGGTGCCCAGCCTTGTAAGAACATTTTCAACTAATTACGTTAATAGTATAGAATTCAGCCTAACGCAGTTAAAAAGGAGCTCAAGCTAGGGGACAGTAGTACTCACATGGTTATATCTGTTTAAAACTGATCATATAGACAGGATGATTAGCTATTAAAGGCAGCATTTAGGCTGGTCACAGTAGCTTACACCTGTAATCTCAGCACTTTGGGAGGCTGAGGTGGGAGGCCAGGAGTTCAAGTTATGCCTGGGCAACATAGTGAGACCCCATCTCTACAGAAAACAAAAAATTCATAAACTGTATACAAATTAGTGGAAACTTGTATTAAGACAAGTAGCCATAAATATTAAGCTGTCTTCATATGTTTAAGAAAAGATTGTTTTGTTCTTAAAGGATATGTGACTACAATTCTGGATGATGCAAAAATTTATTCAAGCCATGCTAAGAAACCCAATGTTGATGCAGATGATGTGAGACTGGCAATCCAGTGTCGTGCTGATCAGTCTTTTACCTCTCCTCCCCCAAGAGATGTAAGCAAACTTTGATTTGAAGTTATTTTTACTTACAATTTTTTAATCTGTAGTTCTAATAAGGATTTTTTTCTTTTTTAGTTTTTACTGGACATCGCAAGGCAGAAAAATCAAACCCCTTTGCCACTGATTAAGCCATATGCAGGACCTAGACTGCCACCTGATAGATACTGCTTAACAGCTCCAAACTACAGGCTGAAGTCCTTAATTAAAAAGGTAAGACATTTTAATCAACTTCGCTTTTTTCAAAAGGTGGGATATGATAGGGGACTTTGTGAAAAGCAAATTCCTGTAGCTAGTATAGTAAAGGTTAAGATAATAGAATTTTTTTAATTTTCAAAAATTTTATAGTTCCTAGAAGGAACTTTAGTGTTCATTTAATGCTACAATCATTTTTCACATCAGGAATTGGAGCCTGAACTCATTTATGAAGTTAGTAGCAAAGCTAGGACTGATTCCAAGCCTCATAACTCCCAATCTTTCCACTGTATTGTAGTTTTTTTAGTGAGGCCTAATAACAGAGGGAATGATATACCATCAGGAATTGGGCCAGCTTTCTGAAATATGACCTAAAGCTCTCCCACCACTGAAAAAGTTATCCCCACGATAGGGTGCCTTTGTTTTCTGAAGTTCCACTATAAGAGTTTTATTCCTTTTTGGGTTAAGAAATTGACTAGTTAAGATTAAAAATCACAAAGAAGTTAGTTGTTATCCCCATTCAAATAACACTCTATCTTAAACTTTAATACTGAATAAGATTATATATGTATTCATATCTTTTTTTTCCCCCAAGATGGAATCTTGCTGTCACCCAGCTGGAGTGCAGTGTCACAATCTCAGCTAACTGCAACCTCCGCCTCCCAGGTTCAAGCAATTCTCCTGCCTCAGCTTCCCAAGTAGCTGGGATTACAGGCATCTGCCACTGCGCCCAGCTAATTTTTGTATTTTTAGTAGAGACGGGGTTTCAGTATGTTTGCCAGGCTGGTATTGAGCTCCTGACCTCGTAATCCACCCGTCTCAGCCTCCCAGGCGTGAGCCACCGTGCCCGGCCTTCATATCTATTTTCACATAAAGACATGTATATATGTTTATGCAAACCCCAGATTAAATGTTGGACTTAAAACACTGATAGAACAAAAACAGGACTTTCTTGCCATGAATTATCCGTAATCATTTACCTCAACAATCCTAATTTCATTCCTGGAAAATTAAGGTGTCACATCTTAACATTAATTTGTTTTTTAAATCTCCTAGGGACCTAACCAAGGGAGACTAGTTCCACGATTAAGTGTTGGTGCTGTTAGTAGCAAACCTACCACTCCTACTGTAGGTAAGTGAAAGGAGAAAATGGCTTTTCTGGCTGGTAAAGCAGTACCTCAGCACTTGGTTTTGAACTATAATGCAAGACAAAAATTGAGTCAGAAATTCTGCATATGTGTTATTATTAATAATTTTATTCATCTAGTAAAGCTATAAACATACATGTTACTGGATTTCAAAATGAGAAAGACACCAGGAACATCTGATCTCAAATAAGTATAAAATTGGACATTGCCCACATTGTTGTTGGTATAAACTCTGATACCAAAAACAGGAGTTTACTCTTAGCTGTGTACTTTATGCCTTCTATACAAATGTATGTGTCCTTTTGACAGATCTGTGTCACTCTGTGAGCATTTTTTGCTTCTGATGCAACAAGATGTTGCAAACTCATACTTTTCCTGCCCAGGTCCTAGAATCATCCACTTCTCCAAAGAGCCCTGGTTCCTTTTGGTGGAGAATGGTATTCAGAATCCATTGTTTTTTTCTTAATATCGTTGTTTAGATAGTAAGGAAAACAAATAATGTACTTAGATTTCCTGACTTTTTTTCCTACATTCCTGCTGGGTTCCTTGCATACATAGTCTAGTAATCAAAGTATTTTCAGAAAAATCCCTCTTCATCAGTATTAAATTATTGGCTCTTATTGCTTATAACTTGAGTCCCATGGCTGCCATATAGCTCAAGTATAAGCAGCATTTGATTTTTGCGGTGTCTAAACCATCTCTTCATATTCTCAGGATGTAAATTTGCATTTCAACATTGTAAAGCCACTTTGGTATAGTATCAGTTGTACATGTGTAATTACCTACCTGTGACCCTTGTGGACAGAAATCTGCATTATAATCTTTGTAAATTTTCATCATATTCTGTTTGTGGATTCACATTACTTAAATGAATACCAGCTGTTTTAGGCTGGTAATCAGTTTCACATGCCAGGCAGGTTAACCAATTTTAGTTATCAGTTATGATTTTTATTCCTAGCTAGACATTTGCTCTACAAACTTCAGAGATTTTTAAAATGTAGAGTGAGGGCACTACCAAAAAACACCTGATAGTTTTAAAGATGCAAGGTTTTTATGTTATTTTGTTTTTGTTTTTTTTTTTGAGACACAGTCTTACTCTGTCACCCAGGCTGGAGTGCAATGGCGCAATCTTGGCTTACTGCAACCTCCGCCTCCCAGGTTCAAACAATTCTCCTGTCTCAGCCTCCCAAATAACTGGGATTACAGGTGTGCACCACCACACCCAGCTAACTTAGTTTGTTTTGTTTTGTTTTGTTTTGTTTTGTTTTGTTTTCAGTAGAGATGGGGTTTCACCATGTTGGCCAGGCTGGTCTTGAACTCCTTATCTCAAGTGATCTGCCCACCTCGGCCTCCCAAAGTGCTAGGATTACAGGCATGAGGCACCACACCAAGCCTAAAGATGGAAGTTTTAAACTTTAAAAAATTAAAATGAGTTGACCAGGCACAGTGACTCACACCTGTAATCCTAGGAGTTTGGGAGGCCAAGGCAGGTGCATCACTTGAGGTAAGGAGTTCAAGACCAGCCTGGCCAACATGGTGAAACCCCGTCTCTACTAAAAATACAAAAATTCGCTGGGCATGGTGGTGGGTGCCTGTAATCCCAGCTACTCAGGAGGCCGAGGCACAAGAATCGCTTGAACCCAGTGAGCCAAGATTACACCACTGCACCCCAGTTTGGGTGACAGAGTAAGACTCTGTCTCAAAAAAAAAAAAAAAATTAAAATGAGTTATATAGACCTTAAGACATGAGTATTTACTCTCTTCAATTGGGGGTGGGAGGGGACTACATCTACAGTCTACTGTGTTCACTTTTAAAGCCTCAACTCCATACTTGCTTCAATTTACTGACAATTCTTAGGCCAAGAAAACACCCACCTACTGTGAATTTTCTTTTCTTGATAAAATATTTACATTGCTTCATTATGCTTCACCAGATTCTCTTAACTAATCCTTAATACATGGGAAAACTTATCTAGGGATGGAGATATTTTAGAGGAGGGTCTCACCTTCTGGGTTTGGTAGAGAGCAGTAAATAAAACACAGATTTCTCAGTACCTCTGGGCTTTCTTTCCTTATTTACTTTTTTCACCTTTTTCTCTAGAAATGGTAGTTGTAGTGTCCTCAGCAACTCTAATCTCTGGGTAAACTGCTGGTTCTAGGGGGAAAGGATGTACTGGAAAGCCTGCATCCCCAGATTAAAAAAGTAGAAACGGATACACTTCCACAAATGCATTTTTTGAGAGAGCAATGATGTCAGTATATTATATTAAGTCTTTGTTGAATACCTGTTTGGAGCAAGGTATAAGAGCCCTGTGCTCACAAGGATGAAAAATGTTAGCCAAGGCTTGTAATCTAGTGAATGAGATAAGATAAGAAAAAGGCATTTGAGCAAATTAAGAAAAGTTTTCTAAAATAGGGTGGTATTTGAGTTGTACCTTGGAATAATGGGTAGAATTTAGATGATTGGGGGTTTAGACTATGTTATATCCAAGATATTTTTCTGCTTAAAAAGTATCTGAACACAGAAAGGGAATAAATTTTCTGGGCCCACCTGGAGACCTCAAGGAGTGTTATATTTGATCTCTGCTTTAGTTTCATGGGCATAGATGACATCTTCTGATTCTCAGCAAGTGACCAAGATTAAAAGTGCCAACTAAGATAATAAATAGAAAACCTGGGTCTTTATTCTGGTAGTTTAAACTCTTAACTTTGTCTTCATCCGGCTAAACCTCAGTGCTTACTATGTACCAGATGCTGTTTGAAGAGTTTTTACAGGGATTATTTTTATTTGTATTTATTTTCACAATTATATGAAATGGGTGATCTTATCCCCTGTTTTATAGAGGAGAAAACTGAGGCACAAAAATTTAAATAACTTGCCCAAGGACACTCAGCTAGTAGGTGATAGAGCCTGGATTCAAACTCAAACAGGTAGGCTCCAGAGCCTACATTCTTCACCACTATTCTATATTGAATTTTGTAACATCTAAACAAGCTTGTAAATTTTTTAAGGTTGTTTTCCTCTTATTTCTAATAACTTTTTCCTCACCTTTTATTAGTTTCCTTTGCTTTTAAGGTAGTTTGTGGTAAGCTAAGGAGTGCAGAATATAAATCTGTATAAGTCACCTAAGTAACATGGTCTGTTTATTGTAACTACAGCGACCCCACAAACAGTGTCTGTCCCAAATAAAGTTGCAACTCCAATGTCGGTGACAAGCCAAAGATTTACGGTGCAGATTCCACCTTCTCAGTCCACACCTGTCAAACCAGGTAATGTGATTGGGTGTGGGAGACAGAATTTGTGAATAATTTGAAATTGTAGAACAGTTTGTATTCCTATATCAAGAGGTAAACTTGTCTTAATATCCCAACAGGAAGGTGGCAGTAATGCTGCAAATCAGGGGTCTTCAGAGGGACCTATGAGCTCTCTAAAATTCTGTGAAATTTTACATACAGTAGTCTCCTCCATTGTCCTTGAGGGATTATGTTCCAATACCCCCCAGTTAAATTTATAACTTTAAAGTTTATAAACCTTCTAAATTATAAAATTTAATTTATAAATCAGACACAGCAAAAAATTAACAATAAAAAAAAAATTTTAACAACATACTATAATAAAATATATATGAATGTGATCTCTCTTGAAGTATCTTAGTACTTACCTATTTTTGGATCACAGTTGACCATAAGTAACTGAAACTGCGGATAAGGGGGAACTACTATATATGTAACATTTTAGGGAGGAGGGAAAGTATTCAGTGTGTTCATCAGATTTTCAAAGAACACCATGAACTAACCAGTTAGGGTCCACAAATCTAAGGCATCTTCAAGGAAAAGCACTTAAGTTCAAGAAAGCGACAAAACTTAGCGATGAATATGTGTATGCAATCCAGAACATAAATGTAAATTCAAATGAAAGTTGTACCTTTACTAACTTCATAGCACTCGCGCGCGCGCACGCACACACACACACACACACACACACACACACACACACACAGAATAAGCAGAATTCTGTCATAGCAGTTTATGAACGTATATGTTTAGATTTCACGTCTTCTGAAACCTAACTGCATGTAACAAGCAACTTATGTAAAATACTGGCCTATTAGGGAAGTGTGATTCCTGACCTTGAACATAGGCCTTTATTTAGTATGTTGCATGATGAATCCAGTGCAGTTTTGCATGAGTGAATTGAAAATCTAGGTTGTTAAAATACAACAGAACTTTTTCAACCTTGTACTAGATACATTTAATTTTTATGTATACATAGATCAGAACATCACATTATACTGCATAAATATAGACAATTATTGGCAGAGCACGATGGTTCACACCTGTAATCCCAGCACTTTGGGAGACGGGAGGACCACTTGAGGCCAGGAGTTCGAGACCAGCCTGGCCAACATGGTGAAACCCCGTCTCTACTAAAACTACAAAAATTAGCCAGGTATGGTGGCATGCGCCTATAATCCCAGCTACTTGGGAACCTGAGGCATGAGAATCACTTGAACTCAGGAGGCAGAGGTTGCAGTGAGCCAAGATCACACCACTGCCTCCAGCCTGCGTGACAGGGCAAGACACTGTCTCAAAAAAATAAATAATTTAAAAATAAATACAATTATTTGCCAACTAAAAATAAAGATTTTTAAAAATTCAACTCATTGTAGTGTAAGTACCTGTGTTTCTTCTATGATATAGTTGCACTTCATGCTATTGAAATTGGTATTAGAATTGCATTCAGCTTTGTTAAATACTTTTTATTGTATGTTTTGGATTCTGGGTAATTCATAGCTTGGTGGGGGGGCTTCTCTGTTTACAGTTCCTGCAACAACTGCAGTTCAAAATGTTCTGATTAATCCTTCAATGATTGGGCCCAAAAATATTCTTATTACCACCAACATGGTTTCATCACAGAACACGGCCAATGAAGCAAACCCACTGAAGAGAAAACATGAAGATGATGATGACAATGATACTATGTAAGGAATATAGTCTAGTATAGATGCATTTCAAAAGGAAAGGTGGTTTTGAGCCTGTACTGTACTTGTCGCCCAGGCTGGAGTGCAGTGGTGTGATCTTGGCTCACTGCAACCTCTGCCTCCTGAGTTCAATGTATAGTGAACTAGAATATTCTAGATCTTCTTGTTTTACCTTAAAAGACTGAAACGTAGCTGCAGTATTTTCATATTAGTTAAAACTGTTAGATCTCTTTAGTAAACATACAAATGTGTTTGTCAATTAGGCTTCAATTACAAACAGTTATGTACTTTTTTCTTAACAGTTTCATAAATGTTGAGTCCTAGTATGGCAATTCTATTTTTGAGACACTTTTCTGCCTTCTATCACTGACAGCAGCACTTAAGTTTCAGGTTCTACAGCCTGGCCGGCAGATTTATCTTTTAACAGCATAATCTCTAATCTACATTTAAATACTACTTTATTTTATAAGGTAATATAGTCACTTTCATTGTCACTAGCTTTATTTTTACCAATGTTTCAATTTAGGAAACATTTTTTGGAAAGGGTGGATTTAGAGGAGAGATTCTAAATCCATTTTGAATGTGTTTGTTTCTTGGCCGCCTTTAACTCCCCAGCTCAACTCCATTTCTAGATCGCATTCATTTTCTGTACCTCCCCCATAGGCTTCTCTCCATTGCTCTTAAATGTAAAAGGCCATACCTGGAATTTTAAAAATATCATTCCTGGTAATACAGCTCAGTGTCATTTTCATATTTTTAAAACATGCTCACATGCCTAATGTTTTGTAATTCACTTCAACCTGATGGTTTGCATTTGCTGTTTTTCACTCTACGTCAGAGCAGTTGGGTTTTATCCCTTAGTTTTTATGCCTGTTGAGCTTTATTGTGCTTTTGACAGGAGTTTTGGGTCAGTTACATTCAGTTTTAGTCTTGTATTCCAAGTTGATAACTCTACCGTATTTCACATTTCTAAATTTAACAGAGATGCTGTAGCTTAAAATCTGTTTTGTTAAGTAATTACACTGGACCTAGGCAAAACCACTGAAGAACCAAGTGTTCCTTTTTACCACATACTGTACATATGTTTTCATCACTGCTGCTTGAGCCCTCCTATTGATATAATTCACATCATTTTTTAGCTTGTTGCTGAGGATGTCACATATAAAATAAGATCAAACCTGAGATAAGACACTAATGGTTCTCCATCCTCTATAAGGCCAACAAGGAAAACAAATTACTGTTATATGGCTTGCATTTAGGTGCACTCTGCATAGGTTTCCCAATAATATTGTAATGTTGTTGAACACCTTTCCCTTATTTCCATGTATACACATCATAAAGTAGTACTGGGAAAGACGGCAAAGCTTTTTAGAATATAAACAGACCTGTTTTGTTTTTCTTAAGTTCAACATACTTTTGCAGAATTTTGTAAAATAAATGTTCATATCATAATTTAGAATTTATAGCCAAGGATGCTCAAAACAGAAGTTTCATCTTAGGATAGTGTTTGATATATCCAAGAAAAAGTCCAGTAACAGAGAAGAAATGTCTCATCAGTTTTAGTGTTTTTCAATATTAGGGAAAGGTAATATAAAAACAGGTAAAATGTATAAAAACAGACCTGATCAACATCATAGGAGATGAATCTTCATTATATAGCATAGGATATCATTACTTGAATGTTCTCAGGGAGGCAAGTCAGAAGGCCTAGGTTCTAGTCCTAGCTCCATCATTTACCAACTGTGTGACCTTACTTCACCTGTTAGCCTTGTTCTCCTCACTAGTAGGAAAATAACACCTACCCTGCCTACCTCACAGGGCTGTTGTGAGGGTTCAATTGGTATTATGTGAAAGTTATTTCAAAATTGTGAAATGCTATATGACTATAAAGAATTACTAATGTATTTGTTCCAAGGTTATTAATAAAAATTTGAGCTTATCAGTGCTCTTTCATTTGTACTTAAAGGATTCAAGAGAGATTGAACAAAGCCCAGGAATTCTGATGGCCAAAAGCCATTAAGATTTGTTTAATGGTTAATTATGTATCAGGAAATCACTTGCTTTTATCTGGAATCAGCATGTGGCACATCATAGTGAAGCAAATTGAAAATGAGTAAAAGATTATGGGATTAAATCTGTTGTCCTTCAGCTTCTAGGTGTAATTTTTAAAAAGAGGTAAATGGGGTGAGGACACTGTTATCTCCAGTTCTTCCTTTTACAGATAGCAAACAAATGTCTATGATCAGAGTACGAATATAGGAATATAGCCAGCATGGGACGGGGGGAGAATGGAAGATGTGATGCACACTATGGTCTAAGGAATCCAAAGTGACAGGGAATAACTCAAGAGGTAAAAAAGAAAACACTAATCAGAACTACAGAACAGAAGGTATGCCACCATTTACATTTTAATATCTTTATATACAAATATACAAACACATGGGTATGCTCTTAATTGTATATTAAGTAGCCTTAGATTGAAGGAAACTGGTCTTCAGAGGTTGCTTCTGGGAAGGGAAACTGGTAGCTAGGGGACTGATTTAAGGAGTCTTCATTGTATACTCCTTTTTGATCATGTGTAAACCCCTGTGCTAGAGGAAAATTTTGGAAATGAAGAAAACAGGAAAACACTGAGCTAAATAAGAGACTGAATTGTTCACTTACAACATAGGAATTACTTTCTTTCCTGCATATAAAAACACATAATCTATGGTTAAAGGTGAATTTACACTTAAAGCATATACCTTTGCATTATTTTACCAGTAATTCGTAATTCTAAATTAAATCAGAAAGTGCATCCTTAACACTGTTTTGTGGGGTGGTTTCTAAGACTAAGTCTTGCTCTGTCACCCAGGCTAAAGTGCAGTGGCGTGATCTCAGCTCACTGCAACCTCCACCTCCCAGGTTCAAGTGATTCTCCGGCCTCAGCCTCCAGAGTAGCTGGGACTATGGGCACCTACCATCACACTCAGCTAATTTTTGTATTTTTGATAGAAACAGGGTTTCACCATGTTGGCCAGGCTGGTCCCAAACTCCTGACCTCAGGTGATCCCAAAGTGCTGGGATTACAGGCATAAGCCACCATGCCCAGCCCCTTATACTGTTCTAGTTTATATGCTCACAATTGTTTATCTACTATTTTCTTTGACCAGGTTAAAAATTCCTTCAGAACATAAATGCTATCTTATATTCCCACCATCATGTCTTCAAGCATATAGCAGATACTCAAATTGGCTAACTGCCAAGTTGTTTATGACTGGCATTTCCCCCATTCATTCTCTAGGTTAACAACCCAAATAAATAGGGGGTGAGGGAAATCATGGAAGCTGAGTCCAGTAGAAAGTACTTACAAGGTACTGTCAGAGATTGTTGGATAGATAATGTTGGCAATTGTAGAGTCTAGGTACTGGGTTTATGAGTTTATGCTGCTTTCAGTTCCATTTGAAATAATTTTTAAAATGTTGGAGGAAAGGTAATCAGTAGGAATAAAAAGTCACAAAAATTGGACTAGAATTCCTTAGTACCCTTAGAGGTATGCAGAAACACAGTACAATTTAAAATTAACTACAAATATGCATACAGTATTAACTAAAATACAGTGAACCAAGAAAAAACTTCAGCTTTCAAAGTTTTGTTTAGAGCAACCAAAATTTTCTTTTGCTATTCTATCCAGGGTTAAACAAAAAAGATATAGTCTACAAGCATGATGTCAGGGAGGGAGGCACATTGGAAAAGCATCAGCCATTGGAACCAGACAAACCTGGACTTGAATCCCTGCTGTTACTTAGCTCTGTGATCCTGTCCAAAGTTTATTTCTTCATACCTAAAGGTGAAATATGTATCTTGCGTGTAAAATGCCCAGTACAGAATTTCTGGTTAGACATAGCTTTTTCAAATGATGTTTACCTCTGCTCTCTCCCAGAACTCCATTAAAAGGACAGGAAAGAGATAGGAAGGTAAAATTATAAGGACGATGAAAGAATCCAAATGGCCATTAGTTTCTTGACAGTGACAATGAAACAATGGCTTCGAGTCTCAAAAAGTGATACCCAGGCTAAAATTCTATATATAGCCAAACTAGGAATCAGGTATAAGGGTTGAATAAAGACATTTTCAGACTTACAAGGTCTTAGAGATTTTGCCTCCCAGGCACCCTTTCTCAGGAAGCTAGTAGAGTCTTGTGTTCTACAAAAAGTAGACCAAGAAAGAAGGAAAAGGGGGAATTTAGAAAACGAGTCCAACACAGGAGGTAAAAGGAATCCCCAAGAAGGTTATAGGAAATCCCAGAGCAACAGCTGTACAGCTTACGTAAAGGGCATCAAGTACAAATGGAAAAAAGGGCACCGAAGACTCCTGCAGGGATAGCTCTGACAAGGATTATTCAGCATGTTTCAATATATTGACACATGCTTCTGGAAGATTTGGGAATGAATCACTGATAGGTATATATAGAAAAGAAATTTTTTTAAACACTTAACTCCAAAAAAATAAAAGTTACATAAGTAAATTTAATCATAGCATACTACATAGCTCAGCTGTATTAGTTATATAGACTTTTGATCTAAAATTGTGACAAAACTATACTGAGAGAATGAAGAAGTGGAAATATACGTGGAACAGAGACTTCTTCCATGGTATGAAATTAACAGATTTCTTTAAAAGAAAAAGAAAAAAAAAGAAGTGAACAATATAAGCATATTACTTAGAAACCTAAAGGTATATACCAGAAAAACTCAAGAGTTGAAAGTGGTCACCTCTGGGGAGTGGGAATCTTGAATGGGAAGAATGGGCTGGGGCTTTTTTGTTATAAGCCTTAACTTTTTAAAGGATGACCATGTGTAACTAATAAAAATAAGTTAGAATAAAAGCACTAAAACAATGTCTGCCACAAAGTAGGCCCTTGATAAAGAATAAACATTTATCTAATTGTCCTATCTCTCCACTGCTGCCCCACTTCTTGCATTCAGCAATGTAGATATCTGATCCATTCCTCGAGATTCTATTCTCACCCTTCCTAACAAAGTATGACAGGAAAAAAAAATCACGGTTTCAGTGGACACTTTTATTGTTTATTTAATGGATCATCAATTTCACCTCCCTACCTACAAAGTCAATTTCATCTTGTTTCCACTCTGAGTAGTGAAACAGTGACAAAGCTAATAAGAATAAGCTACATCAAAAGAGAACTAAGCTAACACAGCTCACTAACAGGCAAAATATAAATATATGCACTCTAGAATGCACAACGGTTTAGTCACTAAGAAATTCAAATGGGATCTTGAAGAATGTAGGCATATCCAGGGTGCAGTAAAGATGAGCTGAGATACTGTGCAACTGTTTAAGGGTTCCTGGCACTGCATCTCTTGGCCACTAGCTGAATCGACATGGAAGGTTTTGGCTAATGCCAAGTGGAGATGCAGAAAATGCTAAGTTGACTTGGGGGCTGTGCACAGGAACTAAAGGCAGGAAAGTACTAAATATTGCTGAGAGCATCCACCCCAGGAAGGACTTTACCTGTTTTTGAGAGAGCACATATACATAGACAGCATTACTATAGGGCCCAGTAAGCCAGATCTCCCCCTACATTTATCTTCCCAATAACATGCCAGCTCTTTTTTAGGATATATGGCCAGGAGTTGGGGAATTGTGCATTTTGGATTCCATGTCTGCTAGACCATAGCTCTCAGAACAAGTTTCTTTCTGTCCCTCCCCACCTCAGTGGATGCCAGGAGCTTTATCTGAAGTTCCTCTGTACTGCCCAGCTAGTAATGACTGCTAATGACAACAGAACCTATCAACTTTCTCTACTCCATTTTACCCACCTCTCACTGCACAGCCCCACCCTTCTCCCAAGCAAGCCAAAAAACAAAAGAACCTCACCTTCCAGGAGCTCTAAACTGGCACCACCCCCAGTGCTCACATGGCTGACTTTATCCTCCGTGTTCCATTTGGCACAGCAAGTGGCAGTGTCTCCACCACCTGTTGAATGAAAGCCAGGTAAAAAGGGAAAAGAGAAAAGAAAAAACAAGGATTGGCACCAAAACTGTAAGGCAGTGTGCTCTCTAACCCAAAAGGTAGCTGATAAACCCCCAACTCTATCTTACCAAGAGGCTCCTCTGTAAATTATCTACCTGTTTAGCTCTTAAGATTTATCCAGAATGAAGAGACAGAAGTTCTCTGTTCTACCTTCCTCTGATCAGAATTCTAACAGCTCATATTGGTATTACCTTTGTATAGGACCACTTACCTATGATAGTGATGCAGCCCCTAGAAGTGGCTTTCACCACTTCATCCATGAGGGCTTTGGTTCCCCGGGCAAAAGCTTCCCATTCAAATACCCCCACAGGGCCATTCCACACAATCTGCTTAGCCCGAGTGACAGCCTCAGCATACTTCTTGCTGCTTTCAGGACCACAGTCCAAGCCCTGAGGGGCAGAGTTGGAAGAGAAAGATGAGCTATCAAGAAAAGCTACTGAAACACCACCTCCACCAAGACCAGAACTCAAGGCTGCACACCAGTTTCTTCTAGAACCAAATGTTACCCTTCAGTCTTTAAAATTAGAAAACTGTTCATGCCCTTTGTACTCAAAAATTCTACTGTATGGAAAATCAAGTCTAAAGGAAAACCTCAAAAGTTATTTAATAAGGACATTCTTAGCCATACTATTTATGTTAGTGAAGACTAGATCAGTGTTTCTCAACCAGGGTCAGTTCTGCCCTTCCGCAATGGATAGACATGTGGCAATGTCTGGAGATATTTTTGTTGTTGCAACTTGGGAGGGTGTTACTGGCATCTAGTGGCCAAGGCTGCTTTAAACAACCTTACAATTCAACAGTCACTCATAAAACAACAGATGTCAATAGTGTTGGGAATGACAGTGAACTAGATCAGGAGTACTCAAACTCTGCCATGCATGAGAATCACCAGAAGGGCTTATTCAAACAGACTGCTCAGCCCCACCCCCAATTTCTGATTCAGTAGGTCTGGGGTGGGGCCTAAGAACTTGCATTTTTAACAAGTTCCAAAAATGATACTGATACTGCTGGTCTTAGGAACACACTTTGAGAAACACTGAACTAAATAATACCTGAATGCCTGACGAAAGAAAAACTAAGCAAACTAGCAAGTAAAAACATGTTGCAATTTTATATAGTATAAAAATGATATTCAGAGCACCCTAAAATCAACTATATTAATATATACACGTACATTTCTCCCTGCTCGTAATCGGTATACTTCTTAATCTTTTCATATGAGAAAGTTTTCTTTTTTTTTTTTTTTTTTTTTTTTTGAGACAGGGTTTCACCATGTTGGTCAGACTGGTCTTGAACTCCTGACGTCAGGTAATTCACCTTCCTCGGCCTCCCAAAGTGCTGGGATTACAGGTGTGAGCCACCGCACCCAGCCAAGAAAGTTTTCTTATATAGGTTTCTAGGTAGCAAAATAATCCAAAGCAACCCAAACCATGAAAGTGCATAACACTATCTCCAGCACATAGTAAGTACTTAATACACATTAAACATAAGAAGTAAAAAACAGATAAAACAAAAAATGGGCCGCGCACAGTTGCTCACGCCTGTAATCCCAGCACTTTGGGAGGCTGAGGCGGGTAAATCACGAGGTCAAAAGATCGAGATGATCCTGGTCAACATGGTGAAACCCCGTCTCTACTAAAAATATGAAAATTAGCTGGGCGTGGTAGCACACGCCTGTAGTCCCAGCTACTCGGGAGGCTGAGGCAGGAGAATCGCTTAAACCTGGGAGGCAGAGGTTGCAGTGAGCCAAGGTCATGCCACTGCACTCCAGCCTGGCAACAGAGCAAGACTCCATCGCAAAAAAAAAAAAAATGGTTTTGCAATATTACTGATGAAGACGCCAGTAGTCCAATAGCACTGCTTTTCTCTCATGGATTCTCCCATAATAAGTGACTCACTGCAACATGCGGCACACTCTCTGACAGAGATCTCCTATAGAGGTTGTTTTAAAATGCTTGTTGGTTGGCTGAATCAATGAATGAATGACACCACAAAGTTTCTATTCACTCACACTACCAACCCACTCAAGTGACTCACCATCCAGCCAGCAGGTATGCCAGAAGCCACAGTGGCTTGGCCAGTCTTGGCATTCTCATCAAACTTGTCAGCAGTGACAAAGTCAACAGGCAAGGTAATCTTCACACCATTCTTCTCAGCTTTGGACATTAGGTCTTTGACAATCTTGGCTCCCTCTTCATCAAACAGAGAAGTACCGATCTACACAGGGGAGCCCAAAATGATGAAGGTCAGCATCTATACTAAGAACAAGACTGCCTTGCAAAGCAGACAGGAACCACACACAATGCAATATAAAGGAACAAGGCAAAGACAAAAGAAAAACTTGCCAAAATAAATAAAAATGGGAGTTTTCAGGGCTTATGTCAAAAGATCATTTTCTTTTTACATTTATACAACCTGCTATTATCATGGAGAGCTATTTCACATCCACTTGGCATTGGTTTCCTACCTCCATGTTGTTGAGCACCTTAAGGAAGGTAAAAGCCATTCCACCACCAATAATCATCTCATTGACTTTGTCCAGCATATTATTGATCAGCTGGATCTTGTCTGCAACTTTAGCTCTAGAAGAGAAAGCAAATATCATCACTTAAAGAACAATGTACTAGAGAAGTGATATATTACACAGAACCTGAGTTTCTATATCAAGGCACAGGAAAAGAGAAATGTCTCAAAGTGACAAAAGTACTGCCTAACTTTGCCCTATGTTTCTCCAACCCAAAAACTCAATCCATTTCTAAGAAATCCTTTTAAGGTATGGCTCCAGACATCAGTACATCTTTTTAAAAATTCCTCACCCAACTTACCATCAGTACATCTTTTTAAAAATTCTACCTAGAAGCTGACAGACAACAGATTTAAACCCATATTCTAAGTAGGGCTCAGAAGACCTACTCTTGGCTAAGGAAACTATGAGTTCCAAATATACCTATTTTTCACACTCCCTAACACACACACACACAATTCAGAGCATCAAGATGGCTAATTGTGTCTGAGTACGACTGCTAATTATGGCATCCTGGAGCCCACTCACAATTATCCTAACCTTACAGCAGAGATCAGACTGTATACCAAATAAATATATACTGCACAAAAATAGATATTCCTAAAGTCATACCCTATGCTCAGTTACTAGGACATTTTCTTTTTTTCTCTCTCTTTTCAATGCAAAGTCTCACTATGTTGCCAAGGCTGGAGTGCAGTGGTGCAATCATAGCTCACTATAATCTGGAACTCCTAGGCTCAAGCAATCCTCTTGCGTCAACCTCTCAAGTAGCTGGGACTACAGGCGTACAACACTACCCCTGGATAATTTTTCTTTTTTAATTTTTTTGTAGAGACAAGGTCTCACTATGTTTTCCAGGCTAGTGTCAAACTCCTAAGCTCAAGGGATCCTCCTGCCTTGGTATTCCAAAGCACTAGGGTTACACACATAAGCCACCATGTCCAGCCTGGGACATTTTCTTTATGGCATTTGTTTTTTTTTGGATCACCCAATTCAATACATTTACTGGGCACCTACTCTGTGCCAAGCACTATTGTAGGTCTTTGAGAAACATCAGTGGGCAAAAGCAAAGGAAAGATCCCTACCCTTTGGGAGCTTATTTTCTAGTAAAAGAAAATAAGGTAAATACACATGCATCTTTCATCTCCCTATGAGAGAAAAAAGATCCAAACTAAAGAGAAACAATGTTATAGCTTGTCTTCCATAAACATTTCCATATATCTAAATACCACTTATATGGACAGATCACCTTGAGTCTGTTTCCTTCTTCATTCAATAAACAAGATAATGCCTATCCTGAGAGAGACCCTAGGCTAGGATTTGTGAAAAGGAGGTATGAAACAACAGTGATGTGTGTGAATCAATGACAAGAAACTATTTACTACTTATTTCACTTGTAAAGATTGATTACCACCAAGGATATAGATGGATTGTTTTAAATACATACACACACACACACACACACACACAAAGGGAAGAAAGCACCTCAATTTCTTCTAAAGAATAGCTTACACCTCAAATGCCTCTGTTTCTTCAACAAATCAACAGAGTGAAAATAATAAATAGGGTATTACATGAGATACCTAACAGCCAAAGGCAATGCATGGACTTCATTTGGTTCCTTATTCCAACAAACGAACTGTAAAAAGACACTTCTGAGATGATCAAGAATATCTGAATACAGACTGGGTATTAGATCATAGTAACAAAACTGCTTAATTTGTTAGGTATAATATGATGATTAAAAGAAATCTGCTTATCAGTTACAAGATGCATACAGGAGTATCACTGATTGAGTATCCCTAATCCAAAACTCTGAAATCCTCCAAGATCAAAACTGTTTGAGCGCAAAGGAAATACCATTGGAACATTTCAGATTTCATATTTTCAGATTAGGATGCTCAACAAGTACCATGCAAATATTCCAAAATCCAAAAATAAATCTGGAATCCAAAACATTTCTGGTCCCAAGCATTTCAGTTAAGAGATACTCAACCTATGTAAGTGAAAGTATATGATGTCTAAGACTAACTTAAAAACATTCCTGAAAGCAGGGAATGGGCTCACGCCTGTAATCCCAACACTTTGGGAGACCAAGGAAGGTGGATCGCCTGAGCCCAGGAGTTCAAGACCAGCCTGGGCAACATAGTGAGACCCTATCTCTACAAAAAAATTCAAAACTTAGCCGAGCATGCTAATGCATGCCTGTAGCCCCAGCTACTTGGGAGGCTGAGGTGGGAGGATCACTTGAGCGTGGATGGTCAAAGCTGCAGTGAGCTGTGATCATGCCACAGCACTTCAGCCTGGGCAGCAGAGTGAGACCCTGTATCTATACACGCACACGCACACGCACGCACACACACACACACACACGCATACTTATTTCACTTGTATTCACTTTGTCTGGAATATGCGTATGTTCCTAACAAATTCACTTTGTCGGGAATATACACATATATATGTGTGTGTGTGTATATATATGTATACATTCCTGACAAAAAAAAAAGAGGGTTAGGATATAGAAGAAACAAGATTAGCAAAAATGTCAATTAATTGTTGAAACAGGGTAATAGGTACCTGGGAGTTCACAGTACTATTCTCAACTTCCGTACCTATGAGTGTTTCTACCATAAAGCTTGTTTAATAAAATATAAAATTCTCCCCAAAAACTGTTAATGGCCTAGGGAAACTACACTGCAAGGAAGGGGGCAAAAAAATCTCTCATCCACTTCCCCATAACAGCTATGTCAGTCTGAATCTAAAAACCTAACCTTCAGGTGGCACTAGGTAGCACTCACTCCCATATTCCAGGTCTACAGAAAGTTGGAGAACAAAGCCCGTTGAGGGTGGGAGTGGGTGCAGCAGCAGGAGACTGAAAGGAGACCAGAGTACTTATTTCCCTGGCTCCCTCCCTACCAGATCTTGTGTCCTTTGACCAAAGGCTACAGTTCCCATCAGATGACTCTCTCCACACCAACTATCCTCTCTGAATTCTGATAACCATTCCCCTCCCTTTGTCCCTTCAGGCCTAGAGATCATGATGGCAGTTGCTGGCCCCAAATTACTGTACTGTCCCTTTGTGGTTTCCCTGAACCCTACCCTCACCTCTGTATGTAGCTCTTTTATTTATTTTTGAAACAGGGTCTTGCTCTATCACCCAGGCTGGAGAGCAGTGGCATGATCACAAGTGCACTGCAGCCTCTACCTTCCAGGCTCAAGTGATCCTCCCATCTCAGCCTCCCTGGTAGCTGGGACCACAGGTGGATACCACCATGGCCCAGCTAATTTTTTTTGTAGACATGGGATCTTACTATGTTGCCTAAGCCCGTCTCAAACTCCTGGGCTCAAGCAATCTTCCTGCCTGGGCCCTCCCAAAGTGCTGGGATTACAGGTGTGAGCCACCATGCCCAGCCTGTAGTTCCTTTATTAAATTCTCCTCAGTTAGCCCATTGTGACTGAGCTATATGACAATAAACGCCCAAGTTATGACCTACTACCAGTCAAACAATACTTAAAGCATGATCTTAAAGAGTTCTTCATACCCGCCCAGGATGGCCAGGAAGGGTCGCTCTGGGCTCTCCAAGGCCTTGGCAAAGTAGTTCAGCTCCTTCTTCATCAAAAAACCACCAGCCTTCTGTGGCAGATTGACTCCTACCATGGAGCTAGAAAAGACCAAAGACATTCAAATTCTAGTCAATCCCTATCACTCCTCCTACTCCTAGAGGCCAGCTCCTTATCACTGAAATATTTCTACTTCTGGACTGAAGGAGATCATGGTTTTCATCCCCACGTTGCAACAAAAAACACTTTGGTACAAGATACAATTTTTAACTCATAGTGCAAGGTCAAGGGGAAAGAGTACAAAGTAATGAACTTAAGTTGAATTTAAGATACCCAGTTAACACTCTTCAGCAGGCCAAAGAGCTAATCACAATATGTAAACTGGCCGGCTGATGATAGCAGAAGAGGATTCCTCAATTTGGCTTCCTACTGAAAGCATGATCATCTGATCTTATAACATTCACAAAGGGATAACTACACAAAATATCTAAGGTGGAAAAGAGTAACCTCTTCCTGAAACTCCATAAAAAGCTCTACAGTTACCAATTTTTTTTTTTACCATTATTTCCTCTTTGGATGAGAGATACTCACAAGAGCCACAGTGGTAGCTCCAATTAGACAAGCTGAAAGGATCTCAGTATAATACAGAACTCTCCAAAAGCAACCCAGAGCTTGGGCTACTCAAGTAAACAGGAATACTGTTCTCAGTGTGGTAGTGAACAAAGTTCTTGGTACCTGTGGGCTCTGTGAGCAGTGCCAAAAGCATCGTTAACATAAACATCCCCTAGCTTGGAAAGTGAAGCTCGGAAAGCTTCTATTTTGGCTGGTTCAGCTTTAACCTAGACAGAAAAACAGAAAGAGAAAATGTGATGGCTCCAAAGGCAACTAGAAAAGCATTTCATACACCAAGAGTCCTCTTGAACATCTCTAAAGACCGAGTAGGTGAGACAGCAATTTTTTACAACCAGCAATAGGATGTGTTCTTTCTTCCAAATATTCCAGGTACTTTGGTCATTTCTGCATGTTTCTGCTATCCCTTACCTTCCCTCAAATTGCAAACCTAATATTCCTGAACCATGGCTTAACCTCTAATCACATTAAGTCAACCACGTCCCACTAGCCTCTCCCCAGCCTTCAGCTCAAGGTTCTGATTATCCTTGCCTCTCCTTGACTTAGTTCCTCATTTTAACACATTCTCTTTGTGAAAGTTAGTATCATACCTGATTCAAGCTGCTGGCTACCAAGGCCTTTCTATGAAGTAAAAGAGGCTCCCACACATATTCCTCATAAAAGCAACAAGGGCAAGTTCGGACAGAGAAGGCAGATAGAAACATGACAACAGAAAAGGACCTCAGAAACACTTTACATTGACAAAGAGGTATTTTATGGCCTTCCCTGGAAGCCAGACATCAGAGAACACAAGAAATATCCTTCTACAAAGAGAGAGAGGAAGAAAATGTAGAAGTTAAACATAGAGCTTTAAAATGCCAGCTTGCCATCAAGGGATACCCCAAAGGGGACAGGTAGCAAGATGGGAGGATAGGCAAAACAAATAGTCTCTGACAGGAGATTAAGCCAAGATTCACAAGAAGCAAGCCAGATGAAAGGGGACATGGCACAGAAGAGTACACAGCACACAGCAGATGTTCATTTTAGTCACTGCCTTCTCCTATGCCCGTATGTATGTATCAAGGAGGTGAAGATGACTGCCATAAAAAATGGGGCTTTTCCCTAAAGACCCAAAGAATTGCAGACACTAATGCTAAAATTGAAGACTATGGTGCTCCCATAACCTCTCTAGAATAGAACAACATCTGCCACTAGTGTGATTGGAAGATGACACATGTAGTAACGATAATACTGCTCAAATGTAAGGAGACCGAGTTCTATGACCAGCTCTGAAACTAATTCATTCTGTAACCTTTGGGAAGTTGCTCTCTGACTGTGAAATTTCCCCTTCTATCAAAAAGGTATAATAACCCCTCTGTTTAAGAACAAGTTAAGGAATCCAGGTGCAGTAGCTCATGCCTATAATCCCAACACTTTGGGAGGCCAATATGGGAGGATCACTTAAATCCAGAAGTTCAAGACCAGCCTGGGCAACACAGCAAGACCATTTCTCTACCAGAAAAAAATAAGTTAAAAGTCAGCTGCGCATGGTGGTATGTGCCTGTAGTCCTAGCTACTTGGGAGGATGAGGTAGAAGGATCACTTCAGCCCACAAGTTTGAGGCTGCAATGAGTCAGGATCATGCCACTGCACTCCATCCTGGGCAACAGAGCAAGATCCTGTATCTTTAAAGTCGTTTAAAGAAAAACGGAGTAAATGGAAAGCTCTTCATGAAAAAAGGTGCCATGGAAATAAAAATATCAATCAGAACTCATTTCTCATTTTTGATCTGCAAATAACTAGAAGAAAGAGAAGACCCTTAAAAGATCAATATGGGCACTTTGGATAAAGGTAAAATGTTTATGTCCTCATGTCCTCACTTTGTTTTTGTTTTTGTTTTTTGATACAGAGTTTTGCTCTGTCGCCCAGACTGGATGGAATACAGTGGCGTGATCTCAGCTCACTGCAACCTCCACCTCCCAGGTTCAAGCAATTCTCCTGCCTCAGCCTCCCGACTACCTGGGATTACAGGCACTTGCCACCACACTCAGCTAACTTTTTTGTATTTTTTGTAGAGACAGGGTTTCACCAGGTTGGCCAGGCTGGTCTCGAACTCCTGACCTCATGATCTGCCCACCTCAGCCTCCCAAAGTGCTGGGATTACAGGCATGAGCCACCGTGCCCAGCCTCACTTTGTTTTTTTAATCCATTTTGAACTTGGGACTGACTCCTGAAATCACAGGTATTAAAAGCCATTACATAGTAAATGTCAAGTCAATTAATTTAAAAAGTCATAAGCTAGCATAGCTCATCATTTCCTGAATAAAAAGTTATGCTTCAATTTGCCCGTTACCTCCTGCCACTTCTAAGCCCTGAGTTCATGCATCATCAGTTCTAGTTTAAAAGAACACCAAATTTCAGGTCAGCATTTGACTCCTAACACTGTAGGAAGACCATGCCAAAAGCAGGAGAAGGCAAGACCAGGACCTTTGGTGCTAAAAAAAGAAACTGCTTGAAAGCAGGCACTCCCAATGACCTTAAGAAATGTGAGAAGCCAAAGGGGATTGAGATACTAGACTCAGAGCATCTTGTTCTCTAGACACTGAAAACCAAAATAGTGGAAAGTACTAAAAAATGCCTTTAGCTTCCATTCTAGCCAATGGGCAAATTCAAAATCATCTGCAAAGAGCCAGGTTTATCACTGAATATTTGAATTCTGGTTGTCAGTTCACAGTAATCTGTTTGGTGAGTTATCTGTGACTGCTTTTGCACAATATCAGCAGAGGTGAGTAGTTCCAACAGAGACTATACGCAGATGGAACTCACTGCACAACACAGAAAGCCTTAAATATTGACTATCCGGCCATTTATAGAAAATGTTTGCTGATCGAATAGGATGAGCTCTAAAGCCCATCAACAGCACCACTGTCTCTAACTTTAATCATGACTGCCTTCCTGAAACTTAGTGTTTTCTTTTGAGACTTAGTTTCTTTATGAAATAAGGTGATACCTGTACCTCCTTATCTTAAAGACAGATTTAGAGGAAAATGCTTTACACTTCTTAAGAAAATGCCTTAAATCCAAGGTGACATCATCATGACCATCATATTCACTGAATACTCTTCCACCACAAAGGTGTTCACATGCTTTTCAAACGTATTTAAAAACCACCTGAACATGAAGGAAGGCTTTCTGGGATGTTGGTAAGATTCTATCCCTTGACCTGGGCAGTGGTTACACAAGTGTGTTTACTTTGAGATAATCCATTAAGCTGTGCATTTTTCTATGAATACTTCAATAAAAGGTGTCTAAGGAAAAATAAATGAACTTTCTCTATTCTTCAACCACCGTCTCTTACAGACTCAGGCCCTCTCCCTCAATAATGTCAAAATCATAGGTCCTACCTTGTTCCCAGAAGCATCTTTTCCCTTCCCTTCTTCCTCCACATGAAAACGGAGGTTCTCCAGCAAGATGACAGACCCAGCAGCTGGGCTGGCACAGGCTTTCTCCACTTCTGGGCCTACACAGTCTTTCAAGAACAGAACATCCCTGAGGAGAGGAAGAGATGAAGACACTTGAGCAGTCTGAAAGTTAAGAACCAGTAACGACAAGCTTGACAACCTCCCCCGCCACAAAGTCCATCAGCACCAGAGCCTGGCACTTACTTGCCCAGCAGAGATTTGAGTTCCACAGCAACTGGCTCTAAGGAGTACTTGTCAGGCATAGGGACACCATCAGGCCGGCCTAGGTGGCTCATAAGGACTACTGACTTGGCTCCATTATCTAAGCAGAATTTGATGCTTGGGACAGCAGCCTTAATCCTTCAACGAAAAAGAAACAACAAACAGAACAAAGTTACTTCTAGAAATTGGTGGGAACTGGTTTATTGATAAACTTATAAAACATAAAGCTCTTTTTCTTCTCCAAGTTCCTTCAAATCTATCAGTAATTCAGTGGTGGTCCTTGGGGGAAGAAGTTAAATACAATGCCAACCCTCTATGTAGGATTGTAAAATCTTACTATGTATCTGCCCCTTTCACAGAAAAGAGTTAACACAGCAGGCCTGAGGCTGCTGTCTACAGAAGGACCTGCTTGCACAATTGGATCTTGGCTGGTATCTGGGAACTTGGCTTTCAAAGTTAACTGACAAGAGAAAGGGCTATTCACTATTCCAAGACTGTCTATACAAACAAGATGATTTATGCTAAACACTTGCCCCACTCTAGAAGTCTAGAATTTTTTTTTTTTTTTTTTGAGACACAGTCTCACTCTGTCACTCAGCAGGCTGGAGTGGAGAGGCAGAAGAGGCACAATCTCAGCTCACTGCAGCTTCAACCTCCCTGGGGGCTCAGGTGACCCTCCCACCTCAGCCTCCCAAGTAGCTGGGACTACAGGAACACACCAGCATGCCCAGCTAATTTTTGTATTTTTTGTAGGGGTTTTGCCATGTTTTCCAGGCTGATCTTGAACTCCTGGGCTCAAGCAATCTGCAGGCCTCCGCCTCCCAAACCGCGGGGAATACAGGCATGGGCTACCACACCCAGCCTAAATTTGGAATTTTGGTAGTTGCTAGGCAGAGGATACCTACATAACCAGTTTCCAATAAAAATCTTGGGATCTGAGTCTCTAGCAGGCTTCTCCAGGCAGAAACATTGACGACAATTACTGCATTTTTCACTGCTGAAGAAAGGAGAACACTTGACATGTCCCCTCACAGGAAACTGGAAGCCCATGGATTTCTCCAGACTCCCCCATGTCTTTTCCTCTTGCTAATCTTGTCATGCATTCTTTCACCATAATAAACTTTAGCCACGAGAACAACTCTGAGTCGTAGCAAATCACCGTGGGATATGTAGGTGGTCTTGGGGACCCCTATAATAACACTCTTCTTATATGACTATGGAAAATACATAAAATTCCCAAATATTGAAACCATTAAAGGAAATTTAGGGAAAAATCAAAAACACGTAGTAACTTTTCTGCACCTATTATATTAATAGATCCTAAGTCACTTTTTTATGTAGGAAAAAATAAATGTACTGTATAGAGCTTGGTTTCCACAATGTATCACATTTATTAGATTACAAATGAATCAAAAAATTAACTCCCTTTAAACATTTAAAAGTTTTGTTACAAGCCTGCTACTAACTTGCCATTTTGCCAGTTTATAAGAAATTAAAATTCATCAAGAAAAGCTTTTATTTATTCGACAAATATTTACTGAATGCTTCTTTTGTGCCAGGCATCATTCCAGGTTCTGAGAATAATACAAAAAACTTTTTTAAAAAGTCTCTATTCTCATGGAAGTGTAATTCTAATGGGGAGAGACAATAAACATATGTGTGTCTGTGTGTGTGCATGTAATATATCAGATGGTGAAATACAGAAAAAATAAACCACTGTTCTGATTGGGGAACAATAGTGGAGGAGATTTTTAGACAGGATGGCCAGGACAGTCTGATAACATTTGAGCAATAATTGAATGATAAAAAAGTTGTATTTCTAAAATATCTTATGCTATTAATATTTAGCAGATATAAGAATTCATTTCTATCAAATTTTAAAAATCTGTATCAAGTACAAAGTTTGTGCAATGGAACCAATTAGTTTTCAGGACTATCCCTTATCAGCAAGTTCTATTACTTCTAATGCTTCATTTTATTAATCAATTCCATGGATTTCTGGAAATGAAAATACTTCCAAACATGTTTCTTTGCTCTTTACTCTTAAAATACTTTGACAGGCATATTTCCAATCTTTTCTGTGTGCTACATAATAATGAAGATCAAGAGGGATCAGATCTGCCTGTAAAAAGACCCTGCCACTATGGTGCAGCAGGGAAGTACTTGACAAAATGACACGCTCTGTTCTGGGACCAATATCTGAAGGGGTTCTGGGTCTAGACTTGCACTGTCCAATAGTTATTTAGTCATGTATGTCCGTTGAGTATTAGATATACAACTAGATCAAATTGAGATGTGCTATAAGTATAAAAACATATAACAGATCTTGAAGACTTAGTACAAAAAAAGTTAAATGTCCCTTAATTTAATTAATACAATTTGGTTCACATTATATTTCTATTAGATAGCACTGGTCTAAATCATTGGAAAGCACCTTGCCAGCACAAACCCTTCATTTAAAATTTAAAACAGGCTGAGCACAGGGGCTCTTGCCTGTAATCCCAGCACTTTGGGAGGCCAACGTAGGTGAAGTCCAGGAGTTCAAGACCAGCCTGGGCAACATGGCAAAACCCTGTCTCTACAAAAAAAAAAATACAAAAAAGTAGCCAAGTGTGGTGGCCCATGCCTGTGGTCCCAGCTACCTGGGAGGCTGAGATGAGAGGATCACTTGAGCCCAGGAGGCAGAGGTTACAGTAAGCCAAGATCATGCCACTGCACTCCAGCCTAGGTGACAGAAAGAAGCAAAAAGAAAAAAAGTAAATAAAAATCTTCTTGATGGATACCCCATTTAACCTGATGTGATTATTATGTATTGCATGCTTGTATCAAAATATCTCATGTGACCCATAAATATATGTAATCTATAAGTTAAAAAAAATTAAAAAGAAAATAAAGACAAAAATAAATAAATAAAAATATTTTACAATCTAGTCAAAAGCAAGAACAGTACTCTCACTTAAAATTTGTTTCTAAATCTACGATCCAAGACGCTGGAGCAGCTAAACTGACTGAAAATGTACTTCTGAAGTCTTTTCTGTTTTTTGGAAGCGAAAACAAATGAAAATCCTCAAAAATTGATTTTATCTGAGCCATCTGGAACGGGGACTTGTAAAACTATATGTAACCTCAATAACTACTGGTACTTTTAAAATCCTTCTTTTACACAGTTCTTCATTTTGCAAGAGAAGCCACGTAACCTTAAACTTTTATATTCTTTTTATGTGTTTGTATTTTATAGAGATGGTATCTCACTACGTTGGCCAGGCTGGTCTCAAACTATTGGCCTCAAGCAATCCTCTTGCCTCGGCCTTCTAAAGTGCTAGGATTACAAGTGTGAGCCACCACACCCAGCCAATTTTTTTATTCTTTAAAAATGAATAACTCTGCCAGGCATGGTAGCTCACACCTGTGGTCCCAGCACTTTAGGAAGCCAAGGCAGGAGGATCACTTGAGTCCAGGAGTTTGAGACCAGCCTAGGAAATATAGTGAGACCCCATCTCCACCAAAAAAAAATTTTTTTTAATTTAACCAGGCATAGTGGCATACACCTGTTGTCCCAGCTACGCAGGATGCTAAGGCCAGAGGATTGCTTGAGCCCAGACGGTTGAGGCTGCAGTGAACCATGATCATACCACTGCACTCCAGTCTGGGTGAAAAAGCAAGACCCTGTCTCAAAAAAAGAAAAAAGAAAGTGAACTCCAAATTCTTCTAATTTTCAAAAAACAAGGGGAGGGGAATCACTTTCTTAAGATTTCGCTTATATTTGAATATACTCATAAATAAGAAAGCATATCAGATAGTGAGTTGATAGAAAGCCAAAATCATATGTCTTAAATTGCTCCAGTTCTATACTACAATATGAAAGGAAAACCATTTCATCCTATGTACCTACACACATCTTAAACCCAGCCCAAGGCTTAGCAGGGACCTTACCTCTGGTTGTTTGTTATCTGGTTGTTCTTCATAGGAACATTGAAGTCGACTCTAAAAAAGAAAGATTCAGAGCCATGATCAAATTATTGTTCCATCAAAGATTAGGAGATGCACTTTTAATGAACCAGTTAAATAAGCTGGAAATCCAAATCTCATCTTAAAAATAATCAGTGGCATTAAAAGTCAAAATAGTGCTTAGTCATGGGGAGGATGGAGGGAGTAGTGACTGGAATGAAACACCAAAGGCTTTGGGGTTCTGGTAATGTTCTATCACTTAACCTCTATGATCATACAAATATGCTCATTTTGTGATAATTCTTTGAGCTTATAATTTGTGCTCTTTCAGGTATGTATCTCACACTTTAAAAAGAATTTAAAAAAAAAAAAAAAAATAACTTAAATCACGGGAACTAGCCCTGAAGATCTGAGAAGCTAAAGCCACCAGTTCCATCTAAAAAGATGTCTGCCTCGGCCTGGCACAATAGTATCTGAGTAGCAGCTGGAGGGGTGATGAATAATAAGGAATGCATCTTTATCCTATTCATTTGATACTATCTCGGCGTCCTTGTGAAATTAACATGACTCGAAAGAAAAAAATTAACTGAAAAAATAAAACACATTAAGAGAAAATCATTCTTTATGGAGAAAGTCTGAGGCCTTAAGACTAGGGGGAAGAAACCCAGTGTCTAGTACAAAGTTCACACAATATCTTTCAAGCAATATACACACAACATAAGACAGCATCTTTCAAAAAGCCTTAGAAGAGAGGGTGGGACATGTGCCCCGGTCCACCTGACAAAAAGGCAAATTAGAAGGGAAGTAATCAAGATGGCACAAGAAAATAATGTACTGCAGTCTCTCTTACCCAACAGATTACTGTTTTACCATTCTTAAGAACCAATTATTCTGAACTCCGTGGAACCTCAGCCTACTTCAATGTGAATGAAAACAATACTGCATGGCAGCTATTTTTAAGGTCCAAGAGTTTTGCCTGCCAAGATCATCTTTAAGTGATTTTTTCTCATGGAGATGACGGTATCTACCTCATAGTTATTGAGAGAATTAAGTAAGTTCGCAATTTGTAAAATGCTTAGAAGAGTACCTGACACACAGTAAGTGCCGTAAAAGTCTTAGCTGTTGTTATGTTTCTCCAAAATGTAATTCTGTGATTTAACAAGTAATCAACCACAACAGCTAGCATCACTTGCAAAGGGACTACGTAAAGTATGACCTAATCAAGAAGACTGCTGCTATCCTTGATTATAAGCCTCCAACTTTTTCCTCTGCCTTTTTAAATACCCATTCCTCTATAAGGCTAAGGCAATTACAGACTCCTACAGACATACTGAGAAGACCCCCAATTTCCTATACCCACTAGGCCTGAATTCCAATCTACCTCACCGAAGAACAGCCTTTCCAAAGGTAGGTTGAGGGAAATCTATATTAAAACATTTTTTAAAGTGTTCAAAATTAAAGACAGTACGCCTCTGATGAAAGAAATACACTCTTCTTTCAGGCCACTTGATTCTCTAAGCAACTTCTTTAAATATCCTGAACAAGGAGCCTGCCAGCCTTAAGGTACATTCCAAAGAATAGAGAGAGTATCCCATTACCATGGGTCATTTTCCCCCATGCAACCTCCCAGAAGACCTATGCTCAAAAGGACTAATGGAAAAAGGGTGGGCACACGCCACTTCTTGCAGTGCTACTCTCTACCCCCAACCCTTACAGGGAGGAATATCTTTGGGCAGAGACACCTAAGAATCTGTCTTGTCTATCCAAGCTGCCATGGTGTCAGTTACTAATGAATTAGACTTGTTTTATACTCTCTCCTCAGTGCCCTCTGGATTACCTCCCCTCATCTCTTACATTCACAACAGCTTTGCTTTTAGCTTCTCCTCTGAGGACTCCAACACAGGAACTGCTCTTGCTTACACATTCTACTTGTTTCATTTTACATAAAATATGCACACTTTCCTTTTTTTTTTTTTATTTCCTTATAACATGCCTGAGCTCTGCTTCAGGCACAAAGTCAGTTATCACTACATATCCATCTGAACACAGAGTAACTAAAATAAAAAATAATGGCACCACCAAGTGCTGGTAATGATGCAGGGAAACTCGTTACTCACATACTGCTGGTAGAAATGTAAAATGGTGCAGCCACCTTGGAAAATAGTCTGGGGATACCTCAAAAGGATATGGCCCAGTAATTCCACTCCTGGATGTTTACCCATGAAAAATGACAGCATATGTCCATACCAAGGCTTGTATACAAATGCTCACACAAGCTTTATTTCTAACAGCCCCAAATCGGAAACAACCCTAATATCCTTTAATGGATAAACAAACTATGACACATCCATACCATGAAATACTACTCAGCAATACACAGAAATGAACTGTTGATACATGTGACTATGTGGATAAATTTTGAGGATATTAAGTGAAAAAAGTTAATCCCAAAAGGGTATATACCATATGATACTATCTGTATAGAATTTTTGAAGTGACAAAATTTTAGAAACAGTGGACAGATTAGTAGTTACCAGGAGTTAGGAAGGGAGCCGGTTATTACTATAAAGGGGTGGCATGAAGGAGATCTTGTTGGGTGGTGACTGAATAGTTTTGTATCTTGATAGTGGTGGTGGTTACACAAATCTACACATGTAATAAAATGGCAGAGAAGTATACACACTTTATACCAATGTCAATTTCCTACTTTTGATATTGTACTATAATTAGGTAAGATGCATCCATCGGGGGAAATGGGTGTACACAAGACCACTCTACTAACTTTGTAACCTCCTGTGAATCTTCAATTATTTCAAAATAAAACATTAAAAAATACACTGATTTAGCTGGAATAAGAATATCAAGTCTCTATCACATGAAATCTCAGATCCCAGGTCCAGTTCCATTAAAAACTCTCAAAGGAACCATGTCCATCAATGCTTCACTTCCCCTAACTAGAAAACTGGGATATTATGGCTATCTTAGAGACTTTTTTCCTCTGCTCTCAATTTTTTCCTGTTTCTCTTCCCACTACACCAAGGCAGTTCCTTTACAAGTTACAACAAGTTAAGGAAAACCAGTGAGGTTTTAAAAAAAAAAAAGGTGGGAGCAAGCAAAAAGGAAGTGCTTTACAAGCACGCAACGGATGACTGGCAACCTATGAGAGAAAAAAAAAGAAATGACTGCAAAAATAAGCAGAAGTGTATTCAAAGAGGCTGTAAAGTGAACTAAAGTCCTAAAAAACTAAGGTGGAACTTGGCAATTAACAAGTCAGAGGTTTCTGGCTATCCCATGTTCCCTCAACAAATCAGTTTCCCTTGGCAATCCAAATCAGTGGACCAGAAGAGTCAGCAAATACCCGAGATCAGTTCTGCAGGACAAAGACGATAAATGAGGCAGCCACTACTCAGGAAGCCCCATTACGGAAACACTGCCAGCAATCACCACGTTGAAACAAAAAGGAATTGAGCTGACACTGCATGGCTGCCTAGGGGCCTCCAAAAAAGTAGGCATACAATGTGACTCTCTGTTCAAAAGAAATACATTAATAATCAGGGAATGATGTAACTTCCTGTCCTCAGCTTCAATAAGTAGAGGGTATCCAGATTACAGAAGAAAGGTCTATTTCAACGTATCCTCGAGTATTCAGATGATCTAGTTGATAGCCAAGGAAACCCAAATTCTAGTCCTGACTCTGCTACCAACTTGGTAGTTCAGTAACCTTGAACAGGTCATTTTCCATCAGCAAAACAGGACTTGCTAATCATTTCAAGGCTTGGGGTTAGTGTGTGTGTTAATTGAAACTTCATTAGGTCCACAGGGAGAAAAGTTAAGCAGCTCCTCCAATCCCACCCCCAGCTAGCTTCCTCAAGCCAGTTTCCGTAGAGAGGGAGGAAATAAAGCCCAAGACTGCAATTATAGGAAGATGATCAGCATGATGTCCCACTCCTTGTCTTTTAGTTGGTCCATGCATCTGGAAAGGTCAGCCTTGAACGCAGTGGAGACATGAGAAACTAATTAAAACCTAAGAGCTAGTTGCATGCCAATGTCCACCTGTCCTGTTTTTTACAGGGTCTATCCCCTTTTATTAGGATTGTATGAGGGCGAGAAAGGGCATTCCTCTAGTACTAACAGGGCTGTGATTCCTACTCTGTCCAGATTACAAAGGCCTATGTCATTTGGGGAAATGACATAGGTATTTTTCATGGACATAAATTATTGGGTTCTCCCATCTCCATAGCAGGGCAGAGAAGGTTGCCTGCAACATAATATTGGCCAAAATGAAATTAGAGTGAAGGGGAGAGCTACGTGTACTTTTAGGGCACTCATACAGTTTCCTAACTCAAACGTGTCCTCATATGTCGAAGCTAGAATAAAGGGAGCTCCCCTACTGACTTATGTGTCTGTTAATATCCAACACAAACCCTCATTTGAACTGGCCCAAATTGGGAAAGGGGCTAGATTACACCAGCCACATGCCTACCCATCAATCAACCACTACCAGAAAAGGTCAAGGCTGCAAAATGCTATCAACACAAACCTTTATGGCCCCTCAAATACACCACTCTTGGATCCTGTTAAGGTATATGACCAGTCAAGTCCAACAGTTACATACCACATCATCCTCCTGCACCTTGCTCCTGGTATGCACAAATATTATACCACACGTGACAAAAGGATAAATGTAAAAGCTCCACATTATACTTAACAATTCTGGCAGGTAAGAGAGAAGCCATGTTGGTAAGTGACCAGAGATCCACATGCGCAGAGCAAGAGACCCAAAGTGCACGAGGAATCCTCCCCTGCCTCTAATATTCTGCTTTTCTAGCCACACGTGGCGATGCAGTTGGAGGCCAGCAAGTATGAGCAGCCACACCCTGCTCTACCATTACCTAGTATGTCATAATCCTGATGCAAATCGTGTGGCCAAGAGTCCAACGTTACCACACTGCAGGGCAGCAGAGGCCTGTTACATAAGCTCTGCAGGGCCTCCTCCGGTGCGCCCCGCCCTACCCTTCCACCCCAATTATTTAGCGGCGGGGGACAAGAGGTCTACTCCTGAACAGTTAAACCAACATCCTCTTGGAAACATATCCTTTTGTGCAGAGACCTGTGAGATGTGGGCCGCTTCTCATTTGTCTGGGACGGTCTAGGGCAGTGGGGGAAGGGAAATTAACAAAATGACCTTTCAAGGTCCCTTCCTTGAAGCCTAGAGATTTGCAGGATAAGCATTAAGTCCTATCTTGCCGAGTGGGAGGTGGAGGCAACGGAACTCCATTTCAGCAATAGGAAAAAAGACAAAATGGGTCCCAGCAGCAATCTCAGCCCTTCCTTAGTGGGATCCATCCCCGAAGGGTGACTTCGGCGGCTTTCTGGGCTGGGAAAATGGGGCTAGAATCACCAAACCTGTGAGCAGCCTCGCCCTCCGAACCTAGGACTCCTGGGGCCCAGCTGAAAGCTAAAAGCAACTTAGGGCAGACAAGAGAATAAGTCAGCTAGGGCCAAAGAGGTTTGCGACAGAACACACAGGGCACGAGGGCAAACGTGCAGAATTACCTCATAACGACCCGCTTCCCTTTCACGTCCAGCTTGTCCAGCGTCAGCTTGTTAGAAAGAGACATTTTGGAAATACAGCCGGGAGAGAGGTCGGTGATTCAGACAGCGAGAGAGCCGGCTGCAGACGTGCGCTCTGTACCCTTGCAGAATACCGAACACCGCGTGGGCAGGAACTTAGGCCACACCGCCCCCCGATGCCCCGCCTCCCATACCGCCCCTTCCTGGCGCGCCGTGAGAAGCACCCGCTATTGGCCACGGCCCAAGGCGGTCGGCGCGCTGCCATTGCTTCTTGGCGCTGTCCATCTGCGAGAGTACAAGTGAGACGTGCGGCTTTCAGTTGTCACGTCCGGCACGCCGCGAACCGCAAGGAACCTTCCCGACTTAGGGGAGGAGCGGGAGGCAGCGCCGGGGTGCCCACAAGTGAAGTGGCGAAGATCCGGGTGACGCTGGGAACTGACGTGAAGAGTGTGCTAGGCCCAAGGTCGGCGCCGCTGCGTTTCCAGGAACCGCGCCCGGAGCAGCCGCAGCCCTGCGCAAGCCCAGGACTGCCTTGGAAAAGGCGCCACCCCCAACCTTTGGAATTCGTGACTGCCCTACCAGGCATCAGCGCAAATACCACCTCCTTTTGAAAAACCCTGGTTTCCTGGCTCCCTTCATGGAATTCTGCTACTTAAGGCCTACTTAACAGTAAAGACCTCTCCGAAGTCGGAAAAGGCCTAGGTCCACTCTGGCCCCCACCATTTTCAACTCAAAAATGCAATGTAATTTTTCTAGTTATGGCGTGATTGATGCCAATGGCAAACACATATGGCATTTTTCATGTATTAACTAATGCTCACAAAACGCCGAAGTGGGTACTGTCATCCTCGTTAAGCAAATGAAGTAACTGATGCATAGAGAAGTTTAGCGGGCCAGGCTGTGGCTGACGCCTTTAATCCTGGCACTTTGGGAGGCCAAGGCCGGCGGATTCCTTGAGCCAGGGGGTTCGAGACCAGCCTGAGCAGCATAACGAAACCCCATTTCTACTAAAAATACCAAAAGAAAGTAATACAAAAAATTAGCCAGCCTTGTTTGTAGTCCTGTTACCCGTGGACGGTGTCCAAATTCTTGGCGTTTTGAACTAAGAATTGTACAAAATGCACAAAGCAAGGAAAGAATGAAGCAATAAAAGCAGATATTTATTGAAAACAAAAGTGCAACCGCTCAATGGGTTCATCTTATCCGCTGCCTGGACATAGCCAATTTATCAAGGCAGGAGAATTGCAATGGCGAAAGAGTAATTCATGCAGAATGGCTGTGCAGGAGACCAGAGTTTTATTATCACTCAAATCAGTCTCCCTGAGCATTCGGGGATCGGAGTTTTTAAGGATAGTTTGAGGGGTATAGGCTCAGAACGCGGGGAGTATTGATTGGTCGGGCTGAAGATGAAATCGAAGAGGGTCAAAGTAAGTTCTTGCTGAAGGGAGTTCTTCCTAGGTGGGATCGCAGGAACTAGTTGAGTCAGAGTATCAGTCTGAGTAGTGTCATGTTCTGCATCAGAATGCAGGGTCTGCAAAATATCTCAAGCATTGATCCTAGGTTTTGCAACAGTGATGTTATTCGAAGAGCAATTTGGGGAGGTTCAGACTCTTGCAGCCAGAGGCTGTATGGCCCCTAAAACGTAATTTCTAATCTTGTACCTAATTTGTTAGTCCTACAAAGGCAGACTGATCCCCAGGCAAGAAGGGGAAAGGGCTATTATCAATTTTGTTTCAGAGTTTGTAAATTCCTTCCCAAAGCTAGTTTGACCTATACCCAGGAATGAGCAAAGATATTTTAGAGGTTAGAAGAAGGTAGGGTAGGTCTGATCACTTTCACTGTCATAATTTCCTCAGTTATGATCTTTGCAGAATCTGTTTCAAAAGTATACTCCAAAGGGTGGGAGCAGGCCTGAGCAAGCAGCTCAAGAACTTGGTTACAGAATTTTCTGGGGTTTAAATACCGTTTAGAGGTTTCCCATTGGTCATTTGGTGTACACCCCATGCAAATGAAGTAGTGGCCCATGATCAGTCTGATCGGTTGCATAAAGCGACCAATGAGAGGCTGAAGTGAAGTTACAAAATTATACTCCTATACAAATGAAAACTTGGCCTGCCACCAGCATTATTGGTTGCAGGCAGGGACTGAGCAGGGACAGGTGATGCGTCACTCAGATTCCCTGTTTCAGAACTGAGGCACTCATTCTTAGCTGCTGGGAGTATTGGTTGCTTATGGCTCACAGCTGAGTCTCTCCCCAGAAACTGCCCTCTGATGAAGGAATCTGCCTTGCCTAAGGCTATACTCACTTCCCAAGGGCATCCATCGATGATTGCTCAATGCAGTTCCAAAGGCCTGGCTTCCTTGCTTCTTTTCAGGACATCTCTAAAGGACCAACTCTGCTTCAGAACTGTCTGTGGGGTTGACTGAAGCCTCTACTGAAACTTCTCCCTCTCTATCCAAATCTGATTTCTTTACTCCTTTACAGGTGTTGTTCCCAGAAGCAACCCCCAGTAATACACCTGCATACAAATCTCAATCTCAGAGCCATTTCCCAGGGAACACTGGGAAGAATTCTAAGGTGGTGCCCATGATCTCTGCCCTCTAGTGTTCACATTTTTTTTTTTTTTTTTTTTTTAGATTGAGTCTACCTCTTTCACCAGACTGGAGTTCAGTGGTGCCATCTCGGCTCACTGTAACCTCCAACTCCCGGGTTCAAGCGATTCTCCTGCCTCAGCCTCCCAAGTATCTGGGACTACAGGCGTGCACCACCACGCCCAGCTAATTTTTGTATTTTTAGTAGAGGTGGTGTTTCACCATGCTGGCCAGGATAGTCTCAATCTCTTGACCTCGTGATCCACCCGCCTCAGCCACCCAAAGTGCTGGGATTATAGGTATGAGCTACCGCGCCCAGCCGTGTTCACATCTTTCTATAATTCCCTCCCCTTGAATGTGAGCTGGACCTATGACTGGCTTCTAACCAATAGAATGTGGCAAAAATGATGAAATATAACTCCCATTATTAGATTCTGATATCGATACGAGATTCCATCTTGCTAGTTTGCTCTAGAGAGACTCCCTTGCTGGCTTTTTGTTGTTTTTGAGACGGAGTCTCGCTCAGCTCACTGCAACCTCCACCTTCCGGGTTCAAGCAATTCTCTGCTTCAGTCTTCCGAGTAGCTGGGATTACAAGCGCCCACCACCACGTCTGGCTAATTTTTGTATTTTTAGTAGAGATGGGGTTTCACCATCTTGGCCAGGCTGGTCTTAAACTCCTGACCTCGTGATCCACCAGCCTTAGGCTCCCAATTTTTTTTTTTTTTTTTTTTGAGACAGAGTCTGACTCTGTTACCCAGACTGGAGTGCAGTGGTGTGATCTCGGCTCATTGCAACCTCCACTTCCCGGGTTCAAGTGATTCTCCTGCCTCAGCCTCCCAAGCAGCTGGGATTACCAGCCCACATCACCATGCCCGGCTAATTTTTGTATTTTTAGTAGAGATGGAGTTTCACCATGTTGGCCTGGCTGGTCTCGAACTCCTGACCTTGAGTGATCCACCCGCCTCAGCCTCTTAAAGTGCTGGGATTACAGGTGTAAGTCACCACACCAGGCCCAATGTTATTTCTTTAAACCAATGAGAATTCCTGACAGACAACTTTGCAATCACTCCCTCTCCTGATTCATCCTTTTTTCTTAAAAAATTCCAGTCTCCCCTTTGTTCTCCAGAGTACTCTTCAAGGCAACCTGGAAGTGTGTCCCAGGCTGCAGTTCTCAATCTTGGCCCGAATGACCCCTCCATATTTTGCCTACACTTCTTCCTTTTAGGTAGACATGATCTATAGAGAAAAAAATCAATTGAAGATGTCTGTAATGTTACATTTGTTAACCATAAAATGCAACTGTGAGACAGATTGCAGGCAGTTTTATGAAAATACTTAAAACAATAAGAGCATATTGAAAAAAATACATTTTTCAGAAAAATGCCAGTAACACAATATTAGAGACAGATATAACTAAGAAACTTATCAAAACATGTGTGTGCCAAAAGAAAATCTTCTTGTGGTTTTTTGTTTTTTTTTTGGGGGGGGGCATGGTGGCAGGGGGGTTGTTCGTCTGCTTGTTTTAAAGACAGGACCTCACTCCATCTCCCAGGCTGGAGTGCAGTCCAGCAATCAGCTCACTGCAATCAGACACAACATCCTGGGCTCAAGGAATCTTTTTGCCTCAGTCTTCCAAGTAACTAGGACTACACGTGTGAGCCACCACGCCCAGCCTCCCTGAACTCTTTAAAGCATCCCAGTTTAGGTGATAAATAATATGGTTTCTCTAAGGCTATAGGATCTTTCCTTTGTGGCTTTTTCCTATCCTTTAGTTTAGTTACCCATTACCCAGATCCCCTTTTATATACAAGCATGGCCTTCTGTAAAGGTAAAAGAGCCACTTGAGCCACTTAAATTGACTATTCTTTATCACATTCAAGGGAGATATCAAAGGAAGAGAGATAGGAAATTCAGAGGTATAAACAGACTCAGGCTTTTGTTCCCTGAGAGGCTTCTTTTTGCCAATTAATACATTAACAAGCCCAAAGAGTTGCCTCAGAAATAGCTTGATGTCTCCAGGGACCTGTGAGTAAAGCAGTGAGAAAAGAACAAAAGAAAAAAATGCACACACTGCAACTTATACAGAAAGAAAGAGAAAGCGCATGCAAGAGCTCTAACAAACAGTAAATACAATTCTGAGCAAAGAGAACCTCAAAAATATGAAAGTAAGAGGTAGAGCCTATGTGAACCCTAGACTTCTCTGCACCAATCCTCTATTGTGAATTCCTGGAGGAAAGTTTATGCCACTATTTAGGTTACAATGCCCCAATACCTTCTACATTGAGGTCCTTACCATCAGATTATCACTGTAATAGAGACCATTTTTCCCTTTCTTTACTAATAGAACTCCTAAATTTTAATCAAACACATGGCTATCTAGCAGGAGACTACATCTCTCTATCTTCCTTGTGGCTTGGAGTGGCCATGTGACCAAGTTCTGGGCAACTGATGTAAGCCCTTTCCACAGAGCGACCCTAAAAAGGAAAGTTCATGCTGTCTTTTGGCCCTTTTCTGCCTTCTGCTGACTGGGAGATGGCAGAAGCTGGGGCAGCCACTTTGGCCTAAGTGATGGTAGT